ATAGTACATTATTGAGAATCAAAACGACAAGATAAAAGTTTTACGTTAGTCAATTGTTACATTTGACACTGTAATAGTACATTATTGAGAATCAAAACGACGAGATATAAGTTTTATGTTTGTCAATTGTTACATTTGAACAATAATAGTACGTTATTGAGAATCAAAACGACGAGATACAAGTTTTATGTTTGTCAATTGTTACATTTGACACTGTAATAGTGCATTATTGAGAATCGAAACGACGATATCTAAGTTTTATGTCAGTCAATTGTTACAGTTGACACTGTAATAGTACATTATTGAGAATCAAAACGACGATATCTAAGTTTTATGTTAGTCTATTGTTACAGTTGAACAATAATAGTACATTATTGATAATCAAAACGACGATATCTAAGTTTTACGCTAGTCAATTGTTACATTTGAACAATAATAGTACATTATTGAGAATCAAAACGACGAGATGCAAGTTTTACGCTAGTCAGTTGCAACAGTAATTCATATGACGCTCTTTATAGCGCGAAAGCTCTGTTCTTTACCATCATCTTTATTAAAAAAAATGCTTCCTATTTTTTAACCTTTTTCTCCTTATCTTTATCAACCCTTGTTTCTTTCATACCTATATTACTAGCATGTCACAACCTATAATTCATTCTGAATAAACTTCACGTGCCATTTGATCCTTAGATAAAAGCTTCACCTCCTCGTTACTACAACCAAAACTTTTATCGATACAAAAGCGCTAATAACTTAACCTATGTAATGGAATATTAGAGAAAAATCCTTCTTTCGCTATAAACTTTTGCCTATATAGTCTAGAAGTAAGAAATTGATTTCCCATTTACAGACAAAAAAAACAACAACAAAAAAACAAACTCGAAGTCCTTCTTGTACATATACGTAAACTCTTTAACAACAACAAACATATGGCGAAGAGATCAAAACCAATTTGAAAGGGCACCGGTGAATGAAGTCTAGAAAATCGATCTCGTACCCGTTTCTCTTTTTTTTTCTCCTTCCCAGCTTGATTCACATGGGAAGGTAATTCATCATCGGCTTTTTTTTTTAACAAAATAATATCCAAGCTTCAATAAAGTAAATTGGGAGACGTTCAAACGGACATAATTTCACAACTGAAGAGTTGTTTCTACCCCTCAGTCAATTTACTTTTCATAGGTATATTATCAGTTTCTATAGCATTTGGCCGGAGAAGAAGTTCTTATACGTAAACTGAAATTATTTCAAGATCTAATTTGTAAGATTTAAGGTAGAAAGTATAATTCAAATAAACATAGATTTTATTAAAAAAAAGCACATGAACTAAGCAATTCTAGGTTATTGTAGGTTATCTGGATTATTGTATTCTTTAACCTTAAACGTAGTTCGTTTAATAAAGTGCAGAACAGTAATTTGGAGCTACACGAATAGAATGTTTAAAAATCGTGTTGTTGTTGTTGTTGTTTTTAGCACTAGGCCATGCATTGGGCCGTCTGCACTCTGTCCACCGTGGAGAATCGAACTCCATATTATAGAGTTGTAAGTCTGTAAACTTACCCGCTGACCCAGAGGGGGACATTTTGTGATGGACTTTAGATTTATGGCCATTATGCTTGTAATTTTGCTACTATTGCAAAATATGGACTTTAGATTTATGGCATTATGCTTGTAATTTTGCTACTATTGCAAAATATGGACTTTAGATTTATAGGCATTATGCTTGTAATTTTGCTACTATTGCAAAATATGGACTTTAGATTTATGGCCACTATGCTTGTAATTTTGCTACTATTGCAAAATATGGACTTTAGATTTATGGCCATTATGCTTGTAGTTTTGCCACTATTGCAAAATATGGACTTTAGATTTATGGTCATTATGCTTGTAATTTTGCTACTATTGCAAAATATGGACTTTAGATTTATAGTTACTATGCTTGTAATTTTGCTACTATTGCAAAATATGGACTTTAGATTTATAGTTACTCTGC